GCCTGACCGCAACTAAGCAAATCAAGCTGTGCTTAGACAAAATCAAGTTGCAGGTAACGTTTTTTGTTGCAAGTGGATAAAATCAAGTGCACCGTGACAAGGTCAAATTGCAAAAAAAATGTAGCAATTTAAAACATTTTGCAATTTAACAAAATTATCTAGGCCTTGGTCAAGAAATCATCATCAGTCAAGCAACAAAGGCATAAAAATGGGCATGTGTCTTTGCCATGTCTGGGCACAAGAGCCACCAAAAGCAACTAGATTTGTGCAACTCCTGATGGGTTGGTGATGTTTGTTGAAGCCTTCCTACATTTCCTACATGCAAAGGTCGTGTTACGCGAACAGATGTTTTGGAATGGTTTCACATAAGAGGCAGCAACATGCAGCAACACAACACGCGTTTCCAGAAGCTTCAACCATTTATGCACCAAATTTGGGCTGAATTTGCGCGAAGTTTCTGACATGAACAAAGGTCCAGATGAATCTCGAACAGAAGTTTCCGGGTACCAGTTACAAGCTCCGAACATGTCCGAACATTAAAAGCAGCACCCGTGCAAGTTGGCACGTCCACCCTTTTGTCCCACATGTACAGGGCACGGAACATAGCTGTAGATGGCGACGAGTCGCGTCGAGTGAGCGAAAACAGTTGAGTTTTCAAATCCGAAAGCTACACAAACGAGAAGTTAAAACGTGGAAAACATCACGATTACAAGGACAAATTTGGGCCCGTTTCATGTTGGAGGGACTTGCGGAAATTGGATTCTAATCTAAGATCTCCCGACGGCTCATTGTCGAACAACCTTCACCGGACGATTGCCCAAAATTTGTTGGCACATTGATTTTCTACGATTTCTCTGCCGCCAGAATAACTCGATCATTTGAAGGAACCTCCGTGGGCCCTTTGTGAGTTGATGCTATCCATCGTTTGAAATCGAACAGAAGTGGTGATGACATTGGTTTGGTAGCCGACATGTTGCGATATCTTCCTGACGATTTTCTCGGTGATTTTACTTTCTATAACGATGTTTTGAGAGAAGGGTGCGTACCGCATGCTTGGCATACCACTTGGTTTTGATGTTCGCCAAATCCCAGAGGGCAAAGTAACCAACTGATTTCAGACCAATTGCCAGCACTCATTTGCTAAGAATCTTTTTTGCTCATATGATGTTGTCGCGCATTGAAAATGTCTTGGGCACAATGCAGCCTGAGGAGCAACACGGATTTCGCCAAGGGTTGGAAGAACACTTGGTAACTGAATATTGTAATTAACTATATACATGTAATTACTTGTTCTGTTCCTCTGTGTTGGCGTCACTGCAGCTCACAATACGACACCGCCCGCCGGTAAAAGTAGACCTTCAGAGGAACCAAAACGACGGCCCTCACTTTGTGCGAGCCTGGGGGTCGAAATGCACATACACATCCCACAAGGGAATTCTTGCGCGAGCCCTGCGCAAACAAACACCGGAGGAGCGTACCCTGATCTAACCCCAGCCTTTTACCCTTACTGTAAGAAACCCTCAGTGTGGACAGGCTCTTTAGAGAATCGTCGGCACATACAGAAGGGCACAATTGTCCAAAAAATCCGCCAAGACCTCCGTCGTAGATTTCGTGAAGAAAGAGTTTCCAAGATTCCGCGCGTACTGGAGGAATTTTCTGCTTTGGATCGTTTGCATGTTTGTCCAAATCTTATGCCCGATGATTTTACATGTTACCTTGGAAAATCTTGTCTTGTGTTTTGTCACTCGAAATTCGAAGTCGAAGTTCGCACCGAGAAACAATAACCCTAAGAAGACTGTAAAAGATAGTGAACCTGCTGCTAGTGGATCACAGGTGCAATGTGCGATGTGCAGCTCAGCCCAAATCGTCGTAGCAAATATAGCAAGGGTATGCAATGGTATTGATTTTCCCCGTGCGCTACGTTTGGCCGGTTTGTTATGAGACCTGCATGCAAAAAAGTCAAGCCAGTTGAAGATCCAAGGCATGTCATTTTAACGCCCATACGATCACTCAACGGGGGTTGGACGCTGGTCAACCTGATTGACACTGTGTTTAAATCACAACAGGACATCGGTTCGGAATATATAAAACTACCGCCCTGACTCCAGAAACACAATGGGACTCCGATAAGGAAACAAAGAAAAATATATTGAAAAAAAATTGGAAATGTATCCTCAAAACAGGTCCTCACAGGGTGAAATAGCATGGGGCGCTATTGGGGAACCTATTCGTGGTCCTACCGCATGGTGATGCGGTTGTATTGCTAGCAGCAGCTCCCCAGCACCCGCAGTAGCAGCAGCAGTGCTGCCCAACACGAGAAGCAGCAGAACAATTCTTCTTTCCTCTGCTATCCAATCCAGATATGTGATTCTGCAATGCCATTGCAACAACAAGGACAAAGTGCACCGCAATGAACGCGACAATACACGATAGCTTCCACGTAGTATTTGCTTCTGTCGTGTTTTTTCAATGAAGCCACTGAAGACCTTTTCCCCGAGGAGACACCGCTTCCACGCAACGAGTTTATACTGTACAAGCAGACGCGGTAGTACCGCCAATGCATGCTGTGAGTGCGCTTTGTTGAAGCTAATCTGTGAGCTGATGTTTTTTTAAATATATATTGTATATTATAAGTTTGGCACCAGCATCTTCTGTCGGTTGACAGCGACGAAAAAAGTCGAACTTCTAGACTTCCGATTCGGAATTGTAAAGTTTCCTCATACGCTGTCAGGAGATCTACACGCCGCCAATACAGTATGTTTGTTGTGCGTTTTTGTTACCAGAAACAGCTAGGCATGGCTTCGGGGCCAGGTGCATCACACCAACGGTAAGGCAACGTCGAGTCTTCTGATATTCAAAAGGAAGGGGTGCAGCAATGTGCAGCATGTCTAGCAACATTTAAGCATTAAAATTAAACTCACACAAACAACTCAGAGGGAATCGGGATGGGGCAATCATGGCGACTGCTTCTGGACTTGCTAAGAAGCCAGCGGCTGCTGCATGACGTTTCAAAGGAAGCGTTTTGGAAGTTGGGCGAAGCTTTCTTAAAGACCAAGCTCAAAACGAGCGATTTGCATGGGTATTTAGAATTATTTAGGCGTCTTTGGATGTCTTTAACTGTCTTTGATCACATTCCCAAACGCCGCACGATGGTTCTTGCTATGCAGCATTCTGGGGAGTCACCGACCAGGTGGCGGCATACGGTAGCATCATCAATGAACAATTACTCCTGCAATTTGTCACGTGCCCGCGCTGGTTCCTAGATTTCGGATGATTTCGGTGTGAGCCTTGCCAGAGCATTGCAATTGATCATGCACGATAGGCATGATCGTGCAATATTCCATTCTGCTTGCCAGCAACGGACAATTTCTCTATCGGAATCTGCAGGACGTTGATCATCGTAGCCTCGAAATGCCATAGTCATCGATTGTTTTTTTTGTTTTCCTAGAGTCCTCAGTTTTGAAGGGTTCTTGGTTCCGATTTTACAAGTATGTGACTGTTGCGCTTACCTCCTAGAAATCCTCCTATCCAGCATGTTTTTGGCAAAAATGCACGATGATCGCGAGTCATCGAAGATTCAAGCTTGATTCAGATGCATGATTTTACATTGTTGCCTCCCCTGGTCAATATGTTGCCTTTCCAAAAACCGAGTTTACCAGCGGATTCTGTAATTGAAGGGTGACGCCTTTTCTCCGTTTCTACAAACTCATTAGGCTTTCTACTTCTTGTCCTTTTCTCATCTTTTCTCCACATGTTTCCCATTTCTGGTACCAAACAAACGGACGGTGCCTATGATTCCGCAGTGTTCGGTTCGCAGCGATTTCGCCCAGGGGTGCCGGCGCAAAGCTTTTCTCCTCTCTTGAATCGAAGCCGAAACTAATCCTGCTGCTGGCTCTGCAGCTGTACTATGCTGTACTACTCGTAGCTCATATGTCAATGTTCTTGCATGTTCTTGCTATGCCACGGCTTGATCATGTAAGTGCATAGTGTGTTAGATTATTAGATGCCAAGATAATCTCCAAATGAAGACCCATTCTCCGCAGACTCAGAGCAGTTAGCTTCATACATTTCCTGCGAGGCCTATGATACCGCTCTTTGGCAGCCTGCCTAGTTGGTGTAGCTGTGATCACTTTCACTGGGATGGCCTGTGCTCAGGTATCCCCAAATAAAGGGGTGATGTCTGATTGAGATTGACAGCACACCACCGAACTGATGGCAGGAACAAAGAATACACTAACAAGACATGGTGCTGGGAGTGAGCCCCCAGATGTTGCATAAGCCATGGGAGTTGGATGTTGAGTCCTTTGCGTCAATGTTTCCACTATGCAAAACTGCGTGCGTTCACTTCAGCATACTACATTCATCCAAGAGCTGCCACAGCAATGCTAGATGCACCCATGTGCTGCTACATACGTCTGGCTTCACATCATAGTTGCGCAATAAATAACTGGCAAATGACGTTTGTGGTACTGCTTAAAATGCACAAACTCAGTCTTAAGTCCTTATTTATCGTAGGGTGTGCTTAGGAAATGTTAAAATGGTTGCAGTAATTAATGATTATCATCCCCAATATATTGGATAGTAAAAGCCCCATAATCATCAACCATCATTTATCAGTTATATCATATCATGTTATATCCACTTTGTATCTCCCTCTTGACGTTACCTCCCCATTACTTATTAAATGATTATTGCACTTATCATCAAACAACACAGCTTTTGAACACTGCTCCATGAATCCAGAAGAGGGGCATCCAACTCCCAACAGGCGCACTTCATGCGTTGGCCCAGTTGGCCCAGTGGCTCTGCAGTGGACTGGACTTCGAAAACAACACAGTTTGGAGTGCCCAAAAATACAAGTACCACGAAGCATCAAACTGTCCAATATTCTCTGGAGGGAAGAAGGCCAAAGCATTCGTCTCGTTCCTTTTCAAGGAACTATTGATGCGACGAGTATGCGCGGCTGTTGCACGTGAAAGACATTGAAAGACTACATCAGATCAATGGACTGCGAGTAGGGAGCGAATCGGTGCAAGAAGGTCTGGTAAGCCCTGGCCCGTGCAGTGCATGAGAAGTTTTCATTGCTTTCGGGCTCTGGCAGTCAGAGCATAGCACAGAAAGGGAAACGCGGAATTACATGCCTGAGGGATCATTTGTGGCAATTATTTGCAATCTTGGCAGTGTTGTCTATATTTTGCCAGCTACAACACGTTGTCGTTAAAACATAACATAATATGTATATTACACCAAAGGTTCTTGGCTTCCGACATAGTAACTCCGATCTTGGAGAAGAGTGTTTGTTCCAAAATGATGTGCCCTTCAAAGTCCAAGAGTGGTGAAAATCATTGTTGATCATCATGTTTCCGGATCAAAGATGTCATTTTGCGGTCTATTTTGGCATCAACCCAAATACCAACTAGCCGCATGGCCCCATCAACACTCGCCAGCAAAGCCATAAAGGTCTCCTGCTGTGCCGGAATTTTGTCAAGACGAAGTTTGGACATGTCACAGCAATCAGCTGCTAAAAAAATGGGTGTCACCTTTTTTTCAGCAACCAAAAATATCGGATTTCAGCTACGACAATTCGCACGAAGTGGCTCTTGAAATGGCAATCCCTCAAATCATTGCATCCTGGAGAGGCAAATGGCTGTCCCTTTTTACGATTTGATGAAAGGGTCAAGAGCCAAAGCCAAGGAGACTCTAGAGCCTCGCTCGGTTTACCTGTGTTTACCTTTGAACCATTCCATCTTCCAAGTCCCAGGGGGTGGTGGTACCCACAATAATCATGCGAATGTGCTATGAGAGGTTGCCATGATGGAGATAGTGTCAAGCAGGATGCTCCCCTGACCATCGGTCAGAAAGCTAGTCAATATGCACTTGTCCAAATAGCCCGTACAAATGTGTATATTCATATATATATATATATGTCTATATATGTATATACATGTAGTATTGTATGTATATGTACGTTTGGGTGGTTTGATGTGGTTTCCACGGTTTCCACACAAAGGAAGGACCGAAAGCTGCGACCTCCTCTTCTTCATCCAAGCGTTTTTGGAATTCTTCTGGAAGCCTAGGCTTGGGAAAGGACAGGTCTGCCAAACTCTGCGAATCCTTTCTGCTATGTAACTATTCCTCCTTGAAGCTCCGGGATGCAGAGTTTCAAGAAAGCAAACGGAATAGTCGGAATAGTCTTAGCCTGCGCTCCCGTGACACATCGGACACGTCTAGCAAGGAAAAAAAAGCCATTGATGTGCCCTTTCCATGTAGCCCTCCCGCATCTACATTGTAAAGCTCCTCGCGCACACAGCCATAGAATCACTGAGGATGCTGCTTCATCTCTGCTGACATGTTCGCATGGACCACATACGCCAGAGCCGTCGTGGTCAGGAGCAGGAAGGCGGCGACGATCCAGAAGTAGCGGCGAGGCACGCCTGTTCAAACAAGGCTTGATATATATATATTTATATTATAATATTGTTTTATACCAGATAATATTATGTTATATTATATTATGTTATATTATGTTACATCATATTATGTTATATTACATTATGTTATATTTTATTAGATCATATCATATTATACAATAATATGTTATACTATAATATATTATATTATATTACATATATATATATATATTATACTATACTATACTATACTATACTATACTACACTATACTATACTATACTATATTATACTATACTATACTATACTATATTATATTAAATTATATTATATTGTATTATACTATATTATATTATATTACATTATATATATATTATATTAAATTATATTATATTGTATTATACTATATTATATTATATTACATTATATATATATATATATTATATATTATTTTATATGTATACGCAGATGAAAAATCAAGCTCAAAATCACGTAGGATTCCTAGCAATCCCCCAGCGCTCGTATTCATGCTAGGGCCGCTAGCGTTCACTGCAAATCTTTTTGTCTGTGCATCTGTCGATTTGATCGGCAGAGCTGAAGAAGCAGTAAAGAAATATGCCAAAGATATCCAAGAATTGCCAAAAATCAGAACAAGCAAAAAACTGGCTATGTGAAGCAGGACCTAGGCAATATTGGAAGGTTGGGTGACGAGTTCCCGGATAGAGCTGGCCACTAAAGCGCTCAGTGGAAAGTTCAATGTGTTTTTGATCATTTTCCACCAATAATAGGATGTATCTAAGCAGAAGTGTACCCAAAAATCCCATGGTTTGTCATGGCTGTCATGGTCCATCGTCATTTTTTGCCATGAAACCTACGGTATACCTCATGTCTATCTAATTCTAGACTAACTCATAATACTACATGCCTTACAAATCAGAGAACTCCATACATGCCCCCCTTTTCACACTTGGATGTGCATCCCAGCTGCTAAGTGGGCAACCATACAACCCAGATAAAGCCAGTTACATATGTGATACATGGATATACCCCAGTTCTATCTGGGTTTAAGCAACTTCCCAACACTAGGATGCACAAGATGCCGGCGTCGGCAAGGCGCCTACACTGGCAACGACTGTGCCCTCTTCCATCACTTCCTCATCTTCGTCCAGTTCCTCATCCTGGCACTGCAGGAAAGAGTGAAAATGAAGATCAACACAGATCAAGCATCTGATAGTCTGATGGTTTTTTTTTTTTCCCTAAGTCTTCGGACAAACCCACAGTAGATCTCAAGTGCAAGGCGAACTTTCTTGGCACCGAATCTTGCTGTCCTTTCCAGTCACTGGGACGTCGACCTAGGTTGTCTCGGGCCAACCGGAACATCAACATGATCTTGGCAAGAATTCAGAGATCTGCTTTCAAAAACTGCGTCCCTTCAATTCATAACATTTTGCCAAGCAAATCCCAGTTATGCTGATCTACTCCTGTGGAATCTCCGCGGGATTCACAGACAGCCATGACAGCCCACCTCGGCAAAGCTGTACTCAATCATGAAATCACTCTCGTCAGAAAGTTGTTCCATTGCTGCCTCCAAGAGCATCGTCCCCAAATGAGGGCGTGGAAGTCAAGGTGAGCCCTGGTACATGCCACACGGAATCAAGTAACTGCTGTTTCAATATATAGTTCTATTTGAAAATTGGGTACCCTAAATCCACGGGTTTATCATGATTCTCCTTGCTAAAGTGGCAATTTGGAATATACGCCACCTTTAGACATACCTATATCTGGCATCCTAGAGATGTTCTTCTTATTTTTTATTCATCATACCGTCTATACGTTCCAAGAAATTATAACATCCACCAGGCCTGCTGTTGTGCTGCAGAACTGTCTTCCAGCAACACCTCCACGATAAGAAATGATGTCTTTTGGCAGACAAATCATCTATTGCTACAGTTGGAAAAGTTCGCACATGGTTAGTGATTGGTTAAACTGTTAGATGTGTTTCAGAGCCACATGAAAGTTTTTGTTGCTTCTGGATCAGCGAAGTGCTTTGGAGATGTGCGTCGCAAAATCCATTTGTCATCAAAAACACTACACATCTGGCCTACCACAAAAATTGCCATATCATTTTGGGAGCGAAACTAGAAAATCCAGAAACCAAATTCAATCCACCAACTATGTTTGTTTTGGTTGTATCCTCTTTTTTGCTGGTTATAACGAATAAAATGACATCATATCTCCATTTCTCGTGGTAAAATGTTTGAAGAGTTCAGAACCAGCCTCGGTGAGTTTCTCGGCGAGATGGTGTGCTTTGAAATCCTGCAGGTGGCCGCAGCTTCAGTGGCAGTGGGGTAGACTTCAACAACCGTTATGGCTGTCAAATTATCATCCGTTATTATCATAATTGTGATAGTTTGACATTGTGATTTTTATCTATTGTGAAACTGACATTGTGATAATTGTCCATTCCCATTGTGATTTTCACTGTATTATTCTTATAATCCTCAAATATTACACACAGACCCTGAGGTTTGCCCAAACCCTAAATACCAGTCACACAACATTATCAGGCATGTTCTAGACGTGAAACAATATAGTAACTCTACTAGGTTTAACATGAGTTTTAGGGCTCAAGGTTTACGATCTGGAGGTTGGTTTATGGTTTGCAATTAACCATAATCATGACCATCGTCATGATCATCATGATCATCGTCATCATCCAAATGCTCATTGAGAGTCCGGGGTCTTGCCATAAGATTAGTATCATTGCAGTTGCTGTTGTCGTGGTAGTGGTAGTACTAGAAGTACTACTGTAGTAGCGCTAGTAGTACTAGTAGCGCTCGTAGTACTACTAGTAGCAGTACTGGTAGTAGTACTATATAGTAGTAATACTAATGTCGGTCTCTGATTAGTAGCTAGGTTCGCTATTGTGGCAAATTTTTCCAAATTATTCTGAAACCGATGTATTGTTTGGAGGGTTCACTTTTGTGGCAAAAAAAAAACTTGGGAAAGTTTTTTTTTGGAAAAAAAACAACCTGTATATTCTGAGAGGTACTACAAATACTACAAGTACTACAAGTACCACAAGTTCATCCGCAAAAAACAGTTTTAATTAGATTTCAATTGTAGCCAATTGAAATCCTTACTCAAGTGAGGATTTGTTTTTCTCTTGGGAAGAAAATTTTTGACTTTCCACTTTAAAGAGAGTCCAGATATTGTTTAGAGGGGGGGGGCCTCACACTAATCGGGAACCAACATTAGTAGTAGTACTAGTACGCGCAAACACCCCGTTTCGCCCACACCCTGCTTGACTTGGGACGGACTATCAACAAGGGTAGTGGGGAATATAAAAGTCCCACCCCATCCCACCCCCGTTAAACTTCCACATTTATTGAAGATCTTCAAATAGGGGTTTAATTCTCCAACCCCCGTCAAACTTTTTACAAAGTTTGCATTCATTGAAGATCTTCAATAAGGTTTGATTCTCCCACCCCCGTTAAACTTCTTACAAAGTTTGCATTCATTGAAGATCTTCAATAGGGGGTTTAATTCTCCAACCCCCGTGAAGCTTCTACATTCATTGAAGATCTTCATTGATGATGATGATGATGATGATGATGATGATGATGATGATGATGATGATGATGATGATGATGACAATGATGTTTATGATGATGATGATGATGATGATGATGATGATGATGATGATGATGATGATGATGATGATGATGATGACGATGATGATGATGATGATGACGATGATGATGATGATGATGATGACAATGATGTTTATGATGATGATGATGATGATGATGATGATGATGATGATGATGATGATGATGATGATGATGATGATGACGATGATGATGATGATGATGACGATGATGATGATGATGATGATGACGACGACGACGACAATGATGATGTTGATGTTGATGTTGATGTGGATGTGGATGTGGATGTGGATGTGGAACGAACCCGCGCAGGTCGCTATGGTGTGCGTTCTGATCTAGAACATCAAGTTCACCATAATGCTAAAATATCGCATTTTTACCATGTTTTCAGCTCATACGAAGAAGGCGGGTCAACAGGTGCAGGCAAATCGAGGTGACTACTAGGAGTAGTGGTGGGAGTAGGAGGAGGAGTAGAAGGAGCAGTAGAAGCAAAACAAATGCAAAATAAAAGCAAAAAAAAAAAGCAAATCGAAAAAGCAAAATAAATGCAAAGGAAATGCAAATGGACAAGTCCATTGATTCCAATGTTTCCCCCTTTTTGACGTGTTTTCCCCCATTTATTTTGCTTCCGGTTTTTTTCAGTTTTGAAGTTTTGCTTTTTGATTTTCCATGTGTTTTCCCTTTTTTGGCATTTTTTTCAAGTTTAAAAATCATTAGAATAAGCTATTGAGGAGAACATAACAGTAGTAGTAGCATAGTAGCAGCTGCGGCAGCGGCAGGACAAATAATCATATCAAAGAAACGAAACAACAATACGAAAACAATACAATAGTCATAGTCATAGTATTGAAATAAGTCTGATAACAAGCTAGTAACGATTATAATGATTGTAGAACAATTGGGACAGAAATTCACAGCGCCTCTGCAGGGACCATGGCGCTGCCCACCACCGAGCGCCGCCCAAAGTCCGGAGTGCTGTTCTGGCGGCGGAGCGGGCGGAGCGCCGGCGCCTTGTGGGACCTGGGTCTTCCATGATATTATCGTTATATATACAGTGTATATATATATATATACAGTATATATATATATATATATTCCACTACTGGTATAGATGAACGATATTCCATTAGAATATAATTAGAATATCTTTAGATGATCACTACATTATGATTATCATTATATTCTCATGATATATTATCGTCCAAGAAAAGAAAAACAACATTACATGATCTTTGTAAATTATCACTATATACTCGGGAAATCCCGGGAAAGGATTCCGAAAAAGTCGTCATGCAACGCCGAAAAAACGGCCTGTGGGACAATGTCAGCTGAAGCATCGACCTCGGAGAAACAGAGTGGCTTCAGTGCCACGCTTTTGAGCCAGCGGAAAAGCCCAGAAAAAGAAAAAAAAAAAGGAAAAAATCGACAAATGAATTGTTTCAAAGGATTTCAAAGGTAGGTTTCTTGTCAGATTCTTGTCACATTGCCTTTCTTTGTTCATTCTGGATATCGCACTGGGAATCTCAGCATGGGATGTCTCCTGACCATCCTCCCCTTCCACCATCTTCTGCTTCATGGCGGATGGAGGTGCCTATCCAGGACTGCGGTACCCAACTCCCAAGGCAAACATCGTTCTCCACCCACAATCTGTTCTGGTTGGTGATTTCAACCCCTCTGAAAAATATTAGTCAGTTAGGATTATTATTCCAAATATATGGAAAACCGCCAACCAGTGTTCATATTTTTTGGACATATCCAATCTCTAAAATCTGTCCCCATGTATGTCAATGTATGTCACTGTCTGTCCATCATGTATCATGTCAATATCAAATTGAAGTCCATGGACGGCAGGCGCTGGAGATGCCTTCTCGCCATAGTTGACTTGCATGGTGGTAGCGCCTGGCTACGGCGACCACGCGTTGCTAAGAAAGCATGGGATCACAGCTACTTATCCAAACATACCAAAAGTATCCAAAAGTCAAAAATCCACCACATTGCCAACCACTTCACCAAAATGCCATGTGCCTTCTGAACATGTCTGAACCACTTACATATAATTTATCTTAAGCCCATGGCTGCCATGGCCCAAGTTGAACCGTTCAACAAAGCTTCATCGCCTCCACCGGAGCCAGACCAAATGTATGCCCTCAGCGAAGCGACATGTCGTTGCTACTCATTCTCAACACTCCGTGTATCTTCAGCATTGGCAGCATTGGCCTGAGAATTTGCCAGGGACCTGACGTGTTTGTGTTCACCTTCCACTTGAACTTGCCTTGTTGCCTGGCGCTGTGGTCAAGTCCGCACAAATTTGACACAAGCAACAAGAACAAATCAAACACAAATAATGACCTGTGTGTCTAATATAAATTAAAAAATAATATCTCAAACACATTCAAACACAATATATTTATATAATGACCTGTTTTCAGATTCAGCATAAAACAGGTAAGTCCTTCACAACTGCCAAGGCACCAAAACAGGAGAAATCTCGTGCCGGGTGGACGAATCTGGCGCGGTCTGAACCGTGACCTTCTGCACCGGTTTCGGCGCCTCAGCATCCACCGGCAGAGATGCAGAACAGCCAACCATTGCCACGCTAACTCTTCATTTACCCTCTGGTAATTTAACATAGCTATTGAAAATGGTGAATTTATAGTGGATTTTCCCATGAAAAATGGTGATTTTCCATAGCTATGTTAAAACTCACCAGAGGGTACCGTTGGTCATGGGAAATCCCTCAATCTCAGAAGCCGTTTTGGCGTGAGGGTCCCATCCCACAGTCCCACGATGTCCCACGGTCCGAAGATTTCTGTCGCGTTGCTCGCGCTTTCTCTCTCTCTTCCTGGATGATCGCATTGCCCACGGCCTCGATTTCTGCTTGAAATGACTGTCATGGCTGGGAATCCCCGAATCGATTTTTTCAGCAAGCCATGTGTGATTGCCCAAGGGTAGTTCATAGTTCTTCTTATGCCACCTAGTAAGAGAAGTGCCAGTAAATGCAAACAATTGCAAACACAACAGTTCTATTCAGCTAGTGTAGTTAATGGTGACATGTTGCGTTGATCAACAGACCAAGGAACGAAATGTATGTATGAAATGTAATGTAATGTAATGCAATGTAGTGTAATGTAATGTGATGCAATGTGTTGCATTGTAATGTAATGTATGGTATGTAATGCTAGGTTATGTTGTGTTGTGTTATGTAATGTCATGTAATGTCATGTAATGTTATGTAATGTTATGTAATGTTATGTAATGTCAAGTAATGCAAAGGTATGTATGTATCTATCTATCTATCTATCTATCTATCTATCTATCTATCTATGTGTATGTATGTGTATGTATGTGTATGTATGTGTATGTATGTGTATGTATGTGTATGTATGTGTATGTATGTGTATGTATGTGTATGTATGTGTATGTATATGTATGTGTATGTATGTGTCTGTATGTGTCTGTATGTGTATGTGTATGTATGTGTATGTATGTGTATGTATGTGTATGTATGTGTATGTATGTGTATGTATGTGTATGTATGTGTATGTATGTGTATGTATGTGTATGTATGTGTATGTCTGTGTATGTATGTGTATGTATGTGTATGTATGTGTATGTATGTGTATGTATGTGTATGTATGTATGTATGTATGCATGTATGTATGTATAGACATATGTATGTATATAGACATATGTATGTATATAGACATATTATGTATATAGACATATGTATGTATATAGACATATGTATGTATATAGACATATTATGTATATAGACATATGTATGTATATAGACATATGTATGTATATAGACATATGTATGTATATAGACATGTATGTATATAGACATATGTATGTATAGAGGCATATGTATGTATAGAGACATATGTATGTATAGAGACATATGTACGTATGTAAATAGACATATGTACGTATGTAAATAGACATATGTACGTATGCAAATAGACATATGTACGTATGTATATAGACACATGTATGGTGTGTATATATATATGAGTGTGTATATTTACACACATTCCACAAACATATAATATATCATATATGTCATGTATGTATGTCATGTATGTCTCTTGAATGAACTTAAGATCTAAGCCCCGTTGAAGAGGAGAACCTGTCGTTCGATGTGCTTCACATCTCTCTCCCTGCCTCGAAGAGGTTTTTGTACTTCTCGCCAGTGGGGCCTTGCTCTTTATTTTTGTAGGCATTGATGGGTATATGTCTATAGACAGAAGGAACTAACTAGGATTTATATTATATTTATGGTGGATATATTCATACACAATATGTAGTGTATATACATGACATATACATGAAAAATATGTATATCCATGTATCAGTAGTATCCCATGGTTCGATCATGTTTGATGGAGTTGCAAAGCAACAAAACATCACTTGAAGGGCTACACTGGCCTCCAGCACCAAGTCGGCCCAGGGTCCGCATGACCTAGTCAGCGTTTGATATATACAGAGTACATAAGAATACACAGTAATTACATTACAGTACCGAGTCATCAGATCTTGTTGCAACTGATTTCAGTACTTCAGAAGCCTTCTGCGATCTTCTGCGGAAACAAAAAAGCGAGTCATACCTAAGAACCGGATTCTGCAAGTTTTTTCTTTTTCGGCAGTCCGCTGGTTGACCCTTTACCGAAATCAAAGCTCGACAACCCTTCCACTCCAATCCAGACAAAACAGGCTCTCTGGCTAGGGAGTCTCCGGATCTATAAAAACTGGGGATCATCTCCAACGGCAATTTTCAAATCGCTTGAAAATGATGAAATGATGTTTAAAATGACCAATGTGGTAAACCCATTGCCATGAACAACTACCATTGGGAGATGTTTTGTCTACCACCCTTTCTGGTAATATTGGGGATGGCCTGGGTTTACCACATTATTGAACCTGAAGTCTCAAGTAATTTTGCTGAAATCAATAGGGTAAATCCACAATTGATAAATAGTTTTCCCATTAAAAACCACCATTTTCCAGGACATCAGTTTGCACCTGAGTTTGCACCCTGCACTCCTGGATCCGCAGCCGCCTCCGTCATGTATTTCTTTCTGAACTCGCAGCCCCTGAGGACAATCCCTCTCTCGTTCAGCGCCTGGGGAAAGCGATGCTGGAAGAGATCTCGCCGTCTTAAAGCTCTGATCCTTTGGTAAAAGCATTGCAAGAAATGTATACATGTCATATGTATGTGTACAAATATATATATATATATGCGTGTGTACTATGTATACATATATATATATGTACTATGTGTATATATATGTAGGTATTGATGTATGTATATATATATATGTATATTTATGTATGTATATATATATATACGTATATATGCATACATACATATGTATATATATATATATATGTACTATGTATACATATATATATATATGTGTGTTCTACGTGTATATATATATATGTTGGTATTTATGTATATGTAAATAAATAAATAAATAAATAAATATATATATATATATGTACATTTATGTATATTTATGTGATTTATGTACATGTATATATGTATATTTGTGTGTGCGCATATGTGTGTGTGTGTGTGTGAACATCTATATTTATTTATAAATATATCCACTACATCCGACCCTAGGGCACCTCTCCAACCTTCTTCGTAACGAAGACGGCCGGCAGCTCGGGCACCTCTCCCTCGGCGCCTGATCGATGGATTGATGGATAGGATAAGATAAGATAAGATAAGATAAGGAAGAGAAGAGAAGAGAAGAGAAGGCAAGATAAGACAAGCTAAGATAAGATACGATACGATAAGATAAGATATATATTGGAATATTACATATATATATATGTGAATTGATATAATGTGTATATGTGTACATTAAATTAGATGATATGTTATATATATACTACATGTTATATTATATATACACATATCATATTACATACAGTATAATTAACACATATATATAGCTGGTGTTTGTTTAGACAAACATGACTCGATACATGCTCATGACGGGGGTGTCTGCATGTATAATTACTGTCAAAGGAATATGGTGTAAACACATCATATTGCTGTCTTCATGTACATTGATACCATCGAGCGAAGACAGTACATTGTCAGTACATTGTCATAACTCATCGCACAGCACGCGTGACTTCTCGTTACCCTCTGGTAATTTAACATAGCTATTGAAAATGACCATTTATAGTGGATGTTCCCATTAAAAATGGTGATTTTCCCATTAAAAATGGTGATTTTCCCATTAAAAATGGTAATGTTCCCATTAAAAATGGTGATTTTCCCATTAAAAATGGTGATTTTCCATAGCTATGTTAAAACTCACCAGAGGGTAGCATTTACAGATACCCTCCAGTGCGTGTTTGTCTTTGCTGTGATGGCAGCTGTGGAGATCCTGAGTTCGAGGCATGCAGCAAGTTTCTCCACTGACAGCGCCTGAGGGCTGAGAATTTCGGTCAATGTTGGTCCAAAACAGCCTGAGTTTAGCTGGCAAAAGGCGTGAGTTTAGCTGGTAAAGCTCCGACATGATACATTTTGAACATGAATTAAAGATGAATGAAGATCATAAATATTGATAAATATTGTACTTCCAAAGATATCTCGGCAGTCTCGGACCTGCTCACAGCGGATGATGAGACCAGTAGCACCTTGCTTCTTCGCTTGCGCCGCTGCCTGATGCGAGTCTAAGACGGGGGAGCCCTGAACAAGAACCAAATGCCACAATGGAGGAGTCATGGGAAAAACTGTGACAGTGTCTCCATCAAGGCTTCAACGAGATGCTGAGTAAGCTTTGACTACATAATGACTACATAATGCTACATATCAATTTGTTTTATCATGCACACATTGTCAAAACCCTGGTACCCTGCTGAACCCCCAATCAAATTGCTGGTAAACAGATTTTATATCTCATATTATGTATATATATATATGTATATAATGGGCTTTCACCCAGTCATCAGCCCTGTGCCTTCCGCAAGTCAACTCCTTCGTTCACAACCGCCACCCACCTGAGCGAACTTCGCGACTCCGTCCCTCCAAGCTGACGACTGACAACTATAGATATAGTACCCGAAGCGGTAATCAAACATGGCTGGGAAATGCCCCATAAAAGGAGGAAAATCATCTATAATACATTGTCTGTACATGCTGAATGAATGCTTTTAGATCGGGAAAAATCCATTGCCATGTTTGATTGCCAGAGCGTAGGTCAAAGGTCTGATGGATAGCTATTGGGTGCCACTACTGAAAGAGTCCTAATTTTGCAGCAGCCAGAGTCCAAATCGATATGGATCAAAATTCAAAACAACAAAGAACGCAGACTTGGTCCCATTATGTCCCATTTTTAATACTATGGCCTGGCCGTAAAAAAAAATTGGGGGTTGACCAAAATCTGTGATTTATTGGGACATGGATTGGCCCCAAATCGCCAGATCCTCTGAGCAGGTGGGACTCCGCTTTACCTTCACCTGCGGCCTGGCGCGGCGATCCGATGACAGAAATTGGCCCCAGCGCAGAAGGCAGTTGGGTTGGAGGATTCTTGGTGGAACCATGGTGAAATCTTGGTGAAATCTGAAGCGTTTCTGAATCTTTTTGGAGCCACGACAGGGTCCCATGATTTGATGCTGGGATATCCCCATCCTAGCGGTTTATCGATTTATGATGATTTATGAATATTGCATGTGACCCCAAACTTGGGGCAGATTGACAATTGCTTCTTGAAAAATCACTGGTAAATAAACTACCCATGAACTGCAAAGATGCACACTTCCCTTCTCAAGCACTTGAAAATACAGGTTGTTTTCGTTCACCTCTGTTTTCTTAGCATCAACCTACACACGGATGACGTCCCTTTCGGAATAATGCTGCGGGGCCTCGAGTACACCATCTATCATATCTATCATCAGCTACCTATGGTTGTGAAGATTTGTGAAGGGGGTTGTATAACGATGGTTATATAGCCAGTTTTAATTTCCATCAACCAACTAGAGAGAGGACACTCCTTCAAAGTCACCCTGCCCCTCCTTGGGAACGGTGTAGCCGCCCTGCTCACTCGCAACGACCACGTGCCCCTTGAACTTGGACAATTCCTGCGAATCGAAAATTGCAGGTTCAACATGTGGTTACGCGTCAGAACATGTCAGAGCCCTGGTGCCCTGGCTTTTCACATCAGAAAAGTAAAAAAAAGTGGTTCTTCTGCAGGTGGTTTTTTTCAATGTTTTAAACCATTTTAAACCCCATTCGCCACATCGACTCAATATGACTCAATGGATCCGAGCCATCGAAAAAAATCGAAAAGTCGCCATCCCTGGTCTCCTCATCATGTGTCCAGCTGGAGGACATAGCGTCATGATGCTTGAAATCTGACCTGGACACAAGGATCACAAGGATGGCCCATGGGATGCCATGGATTCTGGGCTAAACTGCTAAACATCCCCAGTCAGCTAAACATGTTTTCAGACCATCGGCCTTCAATTCTCTCTCTAGGCCCTTGCGAGCTTTCCAATCTGTCCACAGTAACCTCATGTAACCTCTGGTGATTCAGTGGTCATTGTCTCCTTCAGCCTCAACAGGCACCCTCTAAGTTTCAGCTTGTTCCACAGGGGAGCCACCAGGAGGTCCACATCACCCTGGCCAAAAATGGTCAGGTTCATGAGACAAAAAAAAGGATTCTGGATGATTCTGCTGTACCTTAAGGTGTACCCTTTGTCACTTTGTTAACTTTGTTCAGACAAAGTTTCTTTTGAAATCGACAACATGTCCGCAATGAAATTGGCCTGGAAGAGAGCGTTGCCCAAGGGGGTCAGCAGTTGATTAACGGAGCCACCCTGCAGGTCGATGATGGTCGATTCAAAGAGCATCAAGCAGCCACCCAATGTGTTGTCTTTTTCTACAAACACATGTTTAAGTACCAATCAAGAAACATCACAATTTCAATGTTGTTTTTGTGAGATATCAATAGATATGACTGGTTCTACTTAGGTTACTTAAGTGTATATATATATATCATTGTATCCATCGCCGTTATAAAATTAGTTTCCTGGAAAATCATAGTGATTCCTGTAGAGTCGATAACCGACAGAGATCTTGATGGGTTGCTGCCAGCCTCCATCACGAAGCCTATCTCCCTGTCAGTGGCCTCAGGATTTCTTAGGGGCTGTAGAATGAATGGTCATAAGTTATGAATTATAAATAAAAAAGGGATCAAAATAATGTTGGTATATGATGGTATATGAATATGAATATGAGTCAAACGCTTTTTACAAATAATTACAAGGGTTTCTGTTTTTTTTGTTGTATCACGCTTTGAGACAACCCCATCTCATATGGACACATGCAAGGCCATCGACATTTCCTGACAGAAACAGCCAGCACTGGGTCTGTTGCCTTGCCATTTGCTGTGATGGCGCCATTCATGTTGACCTGTACAATTGGCTTTGTGGAAAAACGGACCCCAAATCCACTGGCTAATCAAATTCACTCATCACATCTCATCACATTCCCCCAAATCCAATGGCCATAAAGTGGTGCTATGCCCTTTTTCAGACACACACACAGAATCACACAGACACACATCCTACATCTGTTGGATCTTGCTGCTAGCCATCCAATTACCTGTCTAATTTTGGTGTTAAGTCAGCAAACCCAGCGAGTTGGACAGTTGGACCTTCTGAATTAATGGAGTCTTCGTAGCCTCCCAAGGATGTGCCCGCCTTCAAGTACTGTAGGGCATCTGCAGCTCCCGAACTGGAGCAAGGACGGTCAAAAGGCCAGGCAAAATGGCCCAAGTGACTTGTGCAGTCCTCCAACACATCTTAAAGTGGTGATATGGGTCTGAAAATGGGATACACCCCCCAAAGTGTCCAGTTTAATCTGAAAAATCTGGAAAAAGGATCATTTCCGAATAGTCACGCTCATATCCAAGCAGCCGGAACAGCCAACTGTTGCCTTTAACTGTGGCGAATGGGTCCAGATCCGAGCCCTGCCTGTCATAGGGTTTTAAACAAATGTTGGCTCCTTTGCCTGAGAATCCCAGTGCGCTTCAAGGCGGTGTCTCAAGATGGGAAACCGGGAACCGGCATAGGATGGTTTTTCGCTGTAGGTTCTATTCAAAACACTGAAGAGACTGAAGCTGAGGCATTACACCTGTCGTGCCAATGTATGGACAATTCAAAGACCGCAATGGTTGTCAGGCAGATTGCAGCTTGAGTTTCAAACGGATGGTCAGGTCGTGAAGATTGACCTGACACCATGGCACCCCTGTTGGCATGGCACGTGTTTTAGTGGAACTTCCCCATGTCTTATTCCAAAAAGCTTTGTCGCAGCTCATCTCCCATCATGACTCAGAGCTGCAAACATGGCAAGGCGGACAGGACCCATACCAACACGCTCAATAATAAACCTCAGAAGGCAACTTTTCAAGAAGACCGTCCTTACCGCTCCGTAGTGGCATTGTGTCCGAGCGCAGTCAGCAAGTAAAAATCCGTGCTCAACGACTTCCTGCTCTATTGTTATTCTTCAAAGTTCTGAAACATCGCTTTCTTGGGGCTACTGCAACTGTACCATTTGTAATGCCACTTGTGCCTTTCTCACCACTGACATCTGAGCGCTGTTGCTCTTGTACCCCAGCTGATGAGCTACCTCGGTGGCTGGGCTGTCCAAATACTGAATTGTCTGAAACTGTTGGGAAATGGCTATGTAGGAGGTCCATACCTCATTCTCAGACACACTCAAATCATGGTTGGCTACATTCTCCTTATATATAATCCATTCCCCCTATTACTAAACCCCCCCAAAATAATAAAAACTAGGGACTAGGGTCCATCTCCAATTTTGGAAAATTTCAGGTTGGCCAATTTGACTTTTAATTGATCCCCTTTAGAAAACAATTTGAAAATAAAGCTACCATTTGTGGGTTTCGCCCCCTAAAAAATAAAAACTAGTCAACCCCGGGCTGGTTATTATTGGGGTCCGTGAAAATTTTGTGTTTTTTATATTAGGATGTTTGAATTAATATGGGGTGGAAGCTTCGAAATCCAATTTTTGGCAATATTTTAATTGCATTATAAAAGGAAATTTAATTGATTTTGAAATCGAAAAAAATAGCTTTTTTAATTAAGGGTTTTAATTTATTCTTAGGGTTCCCTAATAAATACCACCCTAATAAAAACTACCTGAGGTGTTTATTATTTGGGGAGGTTAAGTATTAGGGGGAAGGGATTATATAATATATATGTACATATATATATATATATAGTTTTCTATTTATCCCTATCAAATCCACGTTGTTCATGGTGAAATCATTGAATTCCCCCCATGTTCTCCCTCTGAGTCTTTGACTCGAAGGCACATTCTCCGGGATGGCACTGGGCACAGCGCTTGGGTCGGGTAACGGGTTGACCATCTTGTTTCAACCACGTGTTTGTAGTGATACATCCATGAATATCTGATTTGTTGTGTCATGTTTACTCTCTAGATTACTATATTATTGTATAACTATATATATATACCATGCATTTCATAGTCATGTATACATTCTACATCAAGAGACAAGAGAGTCCAACTGTTAGAAGCACGGGAAATCACCATCTGCTTAAATTGTGATTTCACTAAGCTATGAGTGTGATTGAGTCGGCTCAAAATCATCAGAATGTGCCCCAGTCAGACTGTTCTTTGATTCCCACTATATGAGTTCCTTCAAAATGGGGACCCCCTGAGCCACAAAGACTAATCATGTTTGATCCCGATTCAGAGAAACACCCATACATAGAGGTTTAGAGAAAACATGTACACGATTGTACATGACTAATTTGTCATGGCACACTTTCACAGATTTCAGAATCCAAAAGGATCCCCCTGCACAAAGACCGACGTTTTTTGTATGATGACTTTTTCGGCATCGTTCATCAAGGTCGCCAATTGATTCCCTCACCCGAACTGCCAGGCTATGAATTGCAGATTGCCTTCCAAGCTACCCAAACTTTATGATGTTTGAGAACACTGCTATTTATGTATATATGTTATATGTACATACATATACATACATACATATATATATATATATGAACATATGCATTCGAAAAACTTATTCTATACATATACATATACTATCTATAATATACGCATGTTGTGATGTACATTTAGCCATTTATCTACTGTTGTGAAAATGTTGTATACCCCATTTCATGGGCATGCTAATAGGAAAATGAGTTTCTGGATGTGTCTGTTCCATTCTGTTCCCATAATTTCCAGACAATAACCCCCTTCATTCGAAGATATCTGTTTTACTTGTTTTCCTAGGAAACTGAATTATAAATGGTGAGTTTTCTATATGTTCTGACGCGTGGCAGAATTTTGATAGTTCACCAGCCTGAAATAAGGTCATTATGGTGACATCGCAGTGACGTCGTTATAACTCAGCCAGATTTTAATTCGCTCCGGTGACATATATACGTATATACGTACATATATACGTATATATGTATAAATATAAATATATATATATATGTTATATATATATCACGCATGTGGAAAGCCGACCATTTAAAGATCTCAAGTATTATGTACATGGGCATCGGACAAGATCGGACCAAAAAACACCATTGCGCCTCGTCAGCTCGGCCGTGGGGTCACCGGTATGCGCCACCCTGCTCCCAGAGTCCACCTAGTGGCGTCCAGCTCGGCCAGCTTGGGAGAATCTACCCTCTGGTAATTTAACGTAGCTATTGAAAATGGCCATTTATAGTGGATTTACCCATTAAAGATGGTAATTTTCCATAGCTATGTTAGTTTACCGGAGGGTATTCAGATGATGGTAATGTGGGTAAAACAATGTCATGAACCACCCATGACTGGGAACGGTAAACATACCACCTTTAAAATTGTGATGACTGGGGGATGGTTTATTATTGTTTTACCCACATTAATGATACACAGTTTCCCATGGAAAAATCTCATGATGATTAATTGTCAAATTGATTCAAATAGTCATTTTTAACAATAACCCAAGCAATTGATTTTAGTTGCGATATTATGATATGACATGATATCAGGTCTAGCCGATCAAAACGGAAAAATATATTGTGGCTTCATACAAGCATTGCATATCCCTACTGTACGATATCCCACCCCCCAATCAGATAAAATCTCAAAAAATGGAACCCCAGAATTCCCCCAGATCGGCAACACTCCAGCAGGGCTTTGCCGGGGTGTCTGTGACTAGCGGGAATGCATTATTGCGGAATACACGGATAGCCTGCATATGTTCCCTTTAATCAACTAAGTCTGAAATTTCGATTTGAAGAGAAACCACCATATACCAAAAATATCCACGATGTTGCCACACATGACTATCCACGGCTGCCATGATAGCCATAACGGCCATGATGCATTCTCGCTGCCTGGAGATGCTGTCCATTCAAGGCTTTCAGCGTCACAATGTCTCCAATTCTCAGATGCCTCGAGAGCTGCAGCACAAAAAAAATGTTAGTCTATTGGACCCAATCAACCAACAGTCGTTTTTTGTCCGGATGGCAGCGGTTGTTTCTTTTGGGCAGATGTTATTATTGCATTATGACAATAACATATTCTAGCGATCCGATCAACCAGACAATCAAAGAAGAAATCCAATTGGATTGGTATCATCCACTAAATTCTGTCACAGAAGAGCTGACGACAGAGCTGCCAAAAGGAAAAGCAGCATATGACATGTTTTTCTGCACCAGGGTCAGCCCCACATCGACAAGAAGCGGGGTTGTCCAAACATGCAGTATATCCCCAAATCCACTGGCTATATCACCAGATTCCCCCTAAATGGCGAATTATAATTTCTGTGGCACTCCAAATGCTTTTCAGCTCCCCTTGGAGTGGCCACGACCCACCGGGCATGTTGGGTTTCCGACTGAGCATCTGCCTGTCGATTTGATTTTAAAAAAATGCACCCGCGCAGTCCAGCTGGAACCGTGAACATAAGCGCATGTTTGATCATATCCAAATACATTGTGTATTACATGTAAGTAATATTGTAAATAACCATATTCATCATACCATATGTATATATTAGCAGCTTAGCAGCGTAAAATAATCAGTAATGGTAATGATATATTTATATCATATCCAAATTGTGCTGCTCTTGTGTCACGATAGGCAGCTCAATTTCCCATGTTATTGTCTCCTGCCCATCCCAGCTGACCTTGGAGTCCGAATTGCCTGGGAGCAGAGACTCCAATGGTGAGACCATCGGCCCACCGTTGATATAATCTGGATACAATCTGGATAAACGAATCATTCACGAGTCTGAAACAAGGCTATCTTCAGATTGCTACCTTTAATCCATTTTAATCCCATCCCCCTCAACCCCCATTGTATGGCTACAATTATGTGGAAATTCCCCACTAAGCCATGGTTTCTAAGGGCTGTTCAATTTTAGGGGGAAGGGATTACTCATCGACCGCTTCCACTGTAGCCCAGCTGCTCGTGCTGCCCGTCTTTTCCACCAACCAATGCGACCAGGTCCCAGCAGATGCTACCTGCGGCGGCTGCCATCCACATTCCCCATCCTTTGGGGGCCCATCGCATCATATGCCATATCAATCCATATCATATACCCATCATATCCCATGATTCATGATATATCCCATGATAATCCATTGGTATCTGATCTGATATCCCACAACCAACTGAGTCACTGAGTCCCACCTGAACCGAGCCGTTGGGATTCCCATTCAGCAAAGCATCTTGGCTCACCTCTGCGCCTGGGGATTCTTCGAAAGATGTTTTGCCATGTTTTTTGGCCCCAAACAAAAAAGGCTTGAAACCTACAGATGTTCCCACCAAATGTATCCAAATGTGGGAGGTGAAGAAGTTGAAAAAAACTCATCGAACTCATCTCCGAGATCCATAATTTAAGTGACAAGTCAAATGTTTCAGCCCATTCTCAAGTTCTTGTCTCATCATCCAAACTTGAAAGAAATGAAGCCCGACCAATGACACCATGTTGGCTTTGCTAAGACTCTTTAAGGTTCAAGAAATCCCTTTTTAATGTCTTCTTCGTTCAAATTGTTTCTTGTGCATGCATGCAACTTCCACCTATTTTTTTTCATGAGAGTCGAGCTTGCGGTGTTTTCAATTCCCATCTCTTCATACTATTGCAATATATTGCAATTATACCACCATTTCATACTGGTTGGTGGTTTTAACCATCTTGAAAAATATGAGTAATATGAGTCAATGGGAAGGATGATCCCATATATGATGGAAAGTCAAAAATGTTTGAGACCACCAACCGGCATATCATTTCACATCAGTTCATTGTCATACGGGGATGGGTCAAAACCCTGGTACCTAGTGAACCCCAAAATAGCTGGTAAATGGATGTTCATCCCACTAAAAATGTATCTATAGGTATTTAACCGTACCCATACGGACATCTTTTTTAGGACTCAGCCCATCACCTCTGAGATCCCCACGGAAGGTGAAAATGGCACCTGTGGTCGTCGGCTGGCCCCCCTGGTCGATCACAAACTGGGTCTCCTGCACCGGGAAAATCTGTCGGTGCTGTCACTGGACTCAGTTGAGATCCCTGAAATCATTGGGACGTGAACCTAGACTTCACCAAAGACGTTGATTACTATACCCATTGAAAATCCTTTACTTCATTTGCTTGCGTACGTACTAAATTAAATTCATCCTATTGTAACTATGATACCTATTATATGTCATCACTATTACTCCAAAATTGCACTAATCATCATAATCATCATTACATTACTATAGCCACGTGTATAACCACAGCTATAATTCCAACTATAGTTACAACATAGCTGTCATTAATTGCTGCTATTCCAGCCCGGCCCCAACCGAGCCCCAGTTTTGAACAAAAAATCGCTCCGTCTCTTTGGAGCTGCCCACTGCATCACCTTGGCGAAAATGTGGGTAAAACACTGTCATAAACCACCCATTTTCCTGGGAATGGTAAGTTTATACCGCCTATAAAAATGGTGACTGGGGGAAGATTTATTATTGTTTTACCCACATTAATATCATTACATTATCATACTAGTGTTGTCACCTAAAGAGCATTGTCATCATTAAATATCATATGAAATTATGTCAATATGACAATTTGTCTTGCTGTCATTGTTCTGCTGGATAAATCATTGTGATGACTCCCCAAGCTGAATAGTTTGCCCATCTTGGGACAGTTTTCCCTACAATGTCCATCATGTCAGTTACGCCGCAATGAGGTCCTTGTAATTCATCCAGATTGTTGCTATCATCACTATGTAAATGTTATTGATATAGTAATCATGATATATAATACTCATATTCCAGACAGTACTCATATTGAGATAGTAATCAAGAGATACAGTAAATCTGGCATATATTATAGTTATAAATATATATATATATGTATATATATATATATTCGGAAACTACATCTAAATAAAGGTTGTTTTTAATATATGAACTGGTATTTTAGACTACCTTTGGGAAGGTTTTCCTTGGCCCGCCCAGCCATTTAAACATATGGAATCTAATTTATTTAACATACCGCATACCTTTAAATATACGGATGGAACTGGTGTTTCATACGACCTCCCCAGGGCCTTGTGGTCTGGCCCGCCCTCTGTATACATATATCTATATATATATAAGCTATCTATATATATACATATTGCAAAAATCATCAAAAATCGGATTATATAAATCAAAGTTCCAAATGTAAATCGTATGATGCCATATCCACGAATGATATTCATTCTCTCTTTGAGGCAAGATGAACAGATCTAAAGCTAAACCAGAGGCTCCAGGGGGATGTTCAATATTGGAAGAAGATTATGGCCAGAAGTAATCAGTGGATTGGTTTGGAGAAAAATCTACAGGAAACCATGGTTTTCACACAATATACGGGGGTTCCACACTCAATGTTCTCATCCAATTCTGGGAAGTAAGGACTCCTTCAATCAAACTGAGGCCGCCGCAGGTACCGTCCTTTTTGACCCGCAGGTATTGGCCAGTCTGTTTGGACCTTGGTAGAAACACCAACCTGAGGACCTCAACTGCCGTTGCTTGCAACATGTTGCAACACCAACCAAAATAAAGAGGACAAATACTGCGAAAATATTGGTGATATTTGGTAACTATTGTAATTTACTTGTTTAAACTATGCATCTACTTAAAAGCATCTCGCTTGTTTGCCCAATATCAGAGACATTCTGCGCCCTATGAGCTGCTACAGTAGCACCAGGTGTCGCGAACTAACAGCCTACATCAGTCACGAAGATTCTGCTTCAAGCCGGCCAAACAGAAGACAGTAACTATCCTCGATGATCTCGGATTGTTTGATAGTGGTTGATATTGGTTGATATGGGTTATTGATGATCCTGAATCTTACCATGATACACACTCAAAAAAGGGGTGTCAATGCAAGACATCGATGAAGACCGACGAGGAAGGATCAGGGCCCTAGGAAGGATCAGGGCCAATATCTTGCCAAATGTCATCATATTTCCATACGGATGCTTACTCCCAAATCATCCCAATTAGAACCTTTTAATATTGAAAGCCGTAGTTTGGGGGATCCTCCATTTCAAGGAAACCTCCTAATATATTTCCACCTTTGATTGTCTTCACCTGCAATGATTCTCTTGGCGCTGAAGACCGCTTTGCTGCTTCGCTTCGCCCTTCAGTCCAGGCACAGGATTCGGACATTCTCTCCCAACTTGGCCGCATCATCATCACCCGTGGTGGGAGAGACCACAAATTGGGTCGCCAGTGATGCCTGGCAGACACGACCACGGCCAGTATCTTCAATGATCTGGTGATATGATTACAAACATGTCAAACATGTACAAACCACCTTATCCTGGCAGTTCGCAGTCCACACTTAAACACAGGAAACTGGAGCAGTGTCAAGACTCAAGAGGGGGCTCTCATAATCCAGTCGAAAGGGTTGCTGTGAACCATGGAGGGAGCCTTTTTCTATGCGGTCTCTGAATTTAACCGATCCACAAAAACCTGTGCCATACCTCCGAAGACCCTGCCTCCGAAGGAGCTACAAACTTGGTCTTGCCTTCAGCACCTGAGTTCCAGTGCCATACCACCTGCTATGGCTATGACTCCGTGGGATCTAATGGTATCTACTGGGATCTGATCCTCAAACATCTTCACTTCAAATCTGGTGCCAAAGGCAACTGCGGAATCTGAGACTTGAAACCTTTCTTCAGGGTGATACAGTTCTGGTAAGTAGCAGGCCAATGCAAAGCAGCTCACCCTTGTTGTTCCTGATGTGGACTGGCTGCCCAGCCTGCATCATGATTGCACTGGTACCAAAACTGCCACCGCAATTAGTGCATGCACAGATTTTCTCTCTTAACCTTCTTAGAACACCAGCACTAAGTGCACCAAGAATACTTTTGTTAGATTGGATCATGAAAACACACATCTGGCATGTCTGTCCGCGACTTGGATGGGAAAATCTGAAGGAAACCCCTAGACGTGGAAAAAAACTGAAAAAAAACGATTGCAACCCTAGATTCTAGGCCCTAGATGCTCCCACCAATTGATCTCTCGACTTTCTCAACCACCGACTTGGGCATGATGGCCGAGTCGACGCCTGCATCACAGCATCTGGGTTCAAGCCCTCCGTGCCCTCGAGAGGTTCGAAGTTCCAAAACCTTGGCCCAAGTCATGTCAGTGGAATTGGGGGCTGCATCAGCAGCTTTGAGATTCAAGACATGTGTGCATCATTGTATATCTACATATATCTATATTAACATCTACATCTACATGTATATGTATATGTATATATTTGTGTGTGTGTACTGCGAGTGCTCCGGAAAAAAAAAGAAAAAGTGGTAAACACATGGTAACCCAAGGATAAACCGTAACTTTCCTGGTGGTTTCTACCGACCATGTCCGGGCTGCCCGACGCATTTGGATCAAAGGCAGTTCCATTGCCATCCGCAACCTGAACAAATGGCTTCCCAAAATGGGCATACAAATGGCTTCCAAAGTTGCCTAAGATTGTTATGTATTGTTGATATTTCTAAGCCGGACAAATTATGGAATAAACATGAATAAACCATCACATTTGGCGATACTTTCCTTTGAGACAGACTCAAATGACCAAATCTTCCACAGCCCACAAGCCCCCCAACACTCTGCTGGACATTGCTACCTCAGTTCCGCAACAAGCGAGAACAACACGTGCTGAACACGGGTCTGATGGATGATAATTATCCCATATTATCCCTATATGCATAAGTCTCTGATTTGACAGCATCTGCTCATGTTGGCTTGCTTGCCTTTTCATGCTGCATGTTCCCGTTTTTAATCCATGCTCCTTCAAAGTCCCAACACTGTTGCCTTCTTCGACTTCATTTGGGCAATGGGGAGTTCTGTTTTTGGTCATGAATCATCAAGAATCATTTTATGGGGGTCTTTTGGTCCCTTTCATGTGACACATGTCCTTGAGAGTCGAGCGCAAGCAACCACCCTTCAACCTCGCTCGCAGAGTCATCGGGCTGTTCAGCTTCACTAAAGGCTGCAGCTTCTTCTTGACCTGGACTCGGGACTGGGGACGACTGGGGCAAGGCTTCAGCGTCCAGCGTTTGGCTCCATGGATTGCTGTGATAAATTCTAGAGGAAATCAGTGTGTTTTGTTATCCATTTGCAAGTTTACCCTTGAAAGAATTCTGGGAGCTGGGTTTTCTAGGAGGAGCAAACTAAGAACTCTGAAATCTGGCTGGTGATATTGGTCCTCTTCTAACCATCATGGCTACTGATGGCTAATCACCTCCTGTGGAACCAAGAATCCAACGAAAACACGTCAAAGTTGCTTAATGATGTCAGCATCAACAAAATAGTAACCATCTGTATTCTGCGCATACCGGTGTAATATAGTGTAATTCTGGACGTACTGGTACCCGACTAAATCAATGGATTGGTTTAAGGGAAAATCTACAGGAAACCATGGTTTTTACCATCAGATATAGGGGTTTCCTGTAAATTTTCCCGTCATCCAATTCTGTGACTAAAACGTCGATGTCGATGCATGTCAATATGCTATGAAATCTCCTTTGTGAACAATTGGTCAATGTCATTATGATACAATTATGCATGTTCTGTGTTTTGTATCAGAAAGCGGTGGTGACTCACGTTTGCGACCCTATTGTGGTTTGTCTGAAAATAGGATACCACCCAAAAATTCATGGTTGATCATTGGCCACATATTTGGGGGACCGTCTGCGGCCATCCCACATTTTCTTGGCAAACCCAAGCTAGCTCCCTGTTCCATTTGGAGAGCCTCCGCAAGCTCAACTTCTGTATGCAAAGCTGCCTCAGATATAATTCGGAGTCCATGCGAAGCTTGTTGTGAGATGGGATATGCGGCAGTTGGTACCCAAAAATTTGGGTACCCTATCCAAACTCACTAGTTTTAGAAAATATATGAAAATATATCATGTTCCCATCAAAGTTGCTATGTTTGGAATGTTAAATTTAGCTAGTTCGGTTTTCTTTATTGTGTTCGTCCCACTCAAATAAGGCCATTATGAGCATGATTCGACACTTTCCTGCACAAATTCAGGGACTGGGCATATACTGGGCATCTTGTCCAAAATTTGAGTAGTATACCAGTACTCAAATACCCTCTGGTAATTTAACATAGCTATGGAAAATCACCATGCTATTAATGGGAAAATTCACTATTTCTATGGCCATTTTCAATAGCTTTTTGTATGTTTACCAGAGGGTACCCGGTGGATCCCAGCTGGGGCTCCGTCAAAGCGAGTCACCACCGACTTTCTCTTCTCCTTCTCGACCAGGGTCTTGGTCACTTTGATCCTGAAAACTCCCATGGCGGATCGAAGCATGGGATTTTTGTTGAGGCCCAACATGTTGGGAAGTTATGGAGGTATTGTTATAGGATGTTATAGGATGTTATGTGAGAAAAGTTATGGAGGTTCATCCTTCCAAAGATTCTATAAGCAGATGTTGATCCATCCCTTGTTACAGAAAGCCACTCCGCGGCCACATGCCAGCTGCACATCTTCTTCTTTTTGCCCATGACCCTCGCCTGGGGAGTCGAAACAATCCTGTGGCTTTGGAAAATTAGGGAACCCCTAAAGGCCCCAAATCTATCGATTGATTGTATTTGATTATCATGATGATCATGGTCCATACTAAAAAATCGCCATAACGGCACATCCCCTATTTTCAGACGTAGATTACGTCAATCGAGAAGCCAGGGGGGGTTGATCATTTTGACACCCATATGATTTCATAATGGGTTTACCCAAGAATCGAACACCCCAAATCCAAGGGTTGCCTTTCTCTCTGTTCAAATTGCCATGAAAATTCCATTTTCAAACACACCTAGGTTGATATACTGTAGCTAGTTATATGTCTCACTGTACCTATTCCTAGATATGTATACTTGATATGTTATTATATAACATATTATGTATGTATGTATATATATATACACCCTTGTATCCCAGTAAAATGCTTAGTGGTGTATCCTCTCCAGGGATTTCCCCCTGGGTTCAGGCACGGCTTTGAGCCGGAAGCGCTCATACCATCGTGCGATGGCCGACCTGGGATGGTAAACCCCATGCCATGAATCCTCTGTTTGGTATGGGATGGTTTTTTAGACACCCCAAAAGGTCAGATACGGTATATCTATATTTAGATGTATATTTATTATATATAATATATAATAGTATCTATCTAGTGGTATATTTGTGTGAATGGGTACGTTAGATTTTTCTGGCATGGGCTTTAGCACACGATGTGCGCTTCATGCAATCCCTCTGGGGATGGTGGATATGCTGCAAGCTCTGAGAAGCAGACGCGGCAAAGAAGAAAATGAGGTTCAGAGGCATCAGCAGGAAAAAGAGGTATCCTCAAATGGCCGGCACAGGAAAAATACACCTTTGTTTGCTGAAAACTGTATCCAGTTGCGGCTGTGTTGGGTTGTAGCTGGATTTTTTTCCAAGCAGGCAAAGAGTTGAACTTCATCACTGAAAGTTCTTGTGTCTCTATGACGCAAGTGCCAATGCCAACAAGGCATCTTCTCAAAGCAGTCTCTCTAAGACCTGCACTGTTATCTTTCTGCGTGTTGGGTTCCTCCAAATTGCTGCAATCAAGGCATATGCAGGTACATAAATGTTATGTTGCAACGTTCACTCAAAAATGCCTCGAACCCATTCTCCGCTCTTCTGATGTTCAAACTTGGAAGCAAGGAAAGTCACAACTTTGACGTGCTTTGAAAGGATCTCATGTTGACCCTCACTTTTCAAAAAATTGTCAGCCACAATGTCTGGGCAATCAGGGACTGTGTGTGTGTGTAAAACCTCCCCATCAGCTCATTCATCTGATGTAGATGTTTCATGGTGTTTCCTGATCGTTCTTGGCCCGTCTCGAGCTTCCGTGTGACTAGCAGTATTCTGTGTGGCTTCAAGGGTGGAGCACTCTTAGGCAAAGGATTGCAAAGGTATCCTCTGTTGATCAAACATGGTTTGCTGGAAAAATCACCATTTAGTTCATTTTACTTCAATGATTTTCCCATTTATGTAAAAGCCCATTCAGTGTGGGTATAGTCTCCAATCTGTGTTGGAAATTGTGCAGCTTGACGGATTTTGCCCCAAAATTGTGGCACCAAAGTTCCATGGTCCGAACATCGTTGTCCCCGTCAAAATTGCCACTGGGGGTATCACAGAGTCTTGGGTCAACCGGTAAACCCGCAAATATGTTTGGTTGTAAATGGCCATTATTACATTAGATGCTATAAAAACAAATTGCATCAAATTGCCCATGGTTTTAGTGATTATATAGCTATCGGTGTCAGCCATGTGCCTCCCAGTCTTTGGACGAAGCTTGGAGCAGCTGTACAAGAGACTTTGACCTTGCTGGTTTCACCACGACAAAACGATGAGAAAACCACGTGTTTTTTTGTTCAATGATTATGTATTGCTTTGCGTACAGCATGTGTCATGTCTACATTGTGTATGTGTACATATATATATACACATGTTTTTGCATTATAATACGTGTGTGTGTGTTAGTGCACTAATTATACATATTGTTACATTATGTATATATATTATATATGTCCAATATGTGTGTATACAGCACACCACACGATGTCCATGACCCGCAGCTCGGCAGCCACTGGGCCACCCCGCTTCTGCAACACATCTTCGAGGCCACGACCCAAAATGAAACGCGTGCAGTTTTCTGCCTGGCAGAAGCACGCGCGAACGGCATCTCCGAGCAAAAGAGAACGGCGAATCTCCAAGGTGTCAAATGAGTAATACGAGCAATCATGATCACAATAATGATAACAACAATAATAATGATATCAATAACAATAATAATAATAATGACAACAGCAGTAGCAAATATGATAAGAATAAGAACGAACGTATAATAGTAATACTAATGATAATAATATTAAGAATTAAAAATAGTAAACTGAGAAAATTTGCTTTAAAAAACAGGCCAACACAGCTAGGAGACTCTGGATGTTCACCAACATTCTCAACTTGACATGGAACTTGATTTGCTTGCGGAGGCTCATCGCAAAGAAAACATCATTCTTGCTTAACTCGCGTAGAGCTTCATCATCCGCATGTTTTTCTGCAAAATATGAGCAAGCATTTGTCACTTGTCAATTGTCATTCAATCTCGACACCTTGGGTTGTAATGTGGTTTACCCATATATATATATTTTACATATATATATATATACATATATATATATAATATAACTGGGCTATTGCCCGCTTAGCAACTGGGTCGCTCACATCCAAGTAGGCAATGGCTCCCCCTGCACCACCCTCTGGTGCCTTTGGCTCGTAGATGACAACAGGAGCTCCACCCTGATCATCGCAGAGCTAACTGGATACTCTACACGTTGTATATCAGTATATATAATTACATATATACATATTACATATATATGTATATCACATATATATATATGTAACCATGTATAGATAGCGAGCGAGGGAGGAGGGAGAGTGAGAGAGAGAGGGAGATTTATGTGCATATATAATATATGCGTATGTATATATATATATGTATAATATTATATGTATGTGTATATATATATGTGTAAATGTACCCGCCGGCCGGCGGGTGCCGCCCAGAGGTTTATCATGGGACCAACTCTTTAGGGTTTATTTAGGGGTTGTTTAGGGTTGGTTTAGGGCTTATTCAGGTGTTATTTCTTTTTTGTTTTTACCACATTATGTTCAAGGCTTGCTTAGGGGTTCATGTCCGATTTAGGTTTTTAGTTTAGGATTTATAAGAATTATTGAGAGTTTAGGGGAAAAATGTTTTTGCAAATTATGCAAATAAGTTTTTTCTTTTGCTTCTAACTTCAAAAAGTGCCCTACTGGGGGCCTTGCATTGCCCAAGTGCAGCCTAGAAGTGCCAGAATTGCCCAAATAAAGCCCAAAGTTCCTTGAGCCAAAATTGCCCAGATGGATCCTAGAATCGCCCTAAAATTGCCAAAATGGTTCCTTTTTGGTCCTAGGTTCGTGGGTTGCCTTTTTGTAGCCTTTTGTTTCCTTTTTGGGTTTCTGGCTTCATGGGGTCTTTGTATCTTTTTTGCGGCCTGGTTCCTGAGGTGCCCTTTTGTAGCCTTTTGTATTCCTGTGGCCTGGTTGTTTTCTGCGGCTCACCCTGTGCTTGCACGGCCTGCGCACGCGTTTGGGGTGAATAATTCTTCTTTATCGTGGTTTAGGGTTCAGAGTTTTGTGTTTTGGAAACAAGTCTGTCTCGTCAGCCAAGTTGCCATGTCATCAACATAACAACATGCAAAAAGCACTGGCCATGCACAGTCAAAATCCACTTCGCCAGGCAGCACCCCCATCCTGACCGTACGTATGTTTTTATTTTCATATATATATATATGTATGTATATGTATATATGTGTATAGATTTATGTGTAGAATAATTATATATATATGATATGTATATATATTATAAATCTATATTGTGTATAAATATATATTATGATGATCATTACTATTATAATTATTCTATATCTGGTTATTTCGCATATATTTAATCATATCATATATATTATTGCTATATTATGTACATATACTATTATATATATATATATTATAGATGTATATATATATATATTATAGATGTATTCTATCAAAAATACATATTACATAATATATTGCATAATATATTGCATAATATATTGCATAATATATTGCATGCTATATACATAGTGGTGTATAGTGTTTTATATTTATGTATCTTAATTTAGACATACATATATATATATACTATGAATATATATATATACATTATATTGATCCTCTCAACTACTATCCCCAGACCCTAGGAAACTTCATTGTAGACCCTGGATCTAGGGTCTAAAGTGGGGTCTGGAATGATAAATACCTAGGTGATTCCAGAAACATAACGGAACCATGCTAGACCTTACCTAGGGGTCCGGGAACTTGCACATAACACAGCTATGATACTGGAAGGCTCAGAGAGGTAACTTCACTTTAGACCCCTGGGCCCGGCATCTCCGGCAGTAAGCCTAACATCAAAGCTTGAAGTACCTTCCCTCAGGAGCATATCTCCTATATTTTCTTATTTAAGGGTTATATTGTGGTTATTTCGAGACTATATTGATTTAGTATTAGTCTATTTGTTTTACATGCAGATGGAATTCAAATTAACAATTTTTGGGTTATACAATAAACATGAATAAATATTTGTCACACTCTGGTGCCTTAAGATTTCCTAACACAGGGGGTAAGTTTAAAAAACCTGATTTTTCTCGACTCGAGTAAAACCAACTTACCCCAGAGTTATCCTGAACTGTGTCTACCCACAACTTTGAATAAACCAATCCCAAATATCCAAATCTTGCCATTCGACCATTCCACCGAGGGCAGTTTGAAAAAGCTCTGATTAACACGACGCATCCTGACAGCTTCCATTGCAAAATGCTCGCCTTGCATTTTTTCCGCCAGATAGAATTATTTCCACCTTCGAGGTATTTTGGGGTTGGATGTGTAATTATGTGATGTGACCCAATATGTTTTTCTTATCTTTTCCTCATCTTCATGGGTCTGAAATGGTTTACCACATCCTGAAACCAGAAATATTCACCACAAATGCTATGGGAACATCATTTCAGACCCATCAAGATGGACCATTCCCAACTATACAGAAGAGAAACCATCACCATCAACATATCAGAAAGAATGTCAGAAGATATGCCAGATAGAATGTCAGAAGATATGCCAGATAGAATACCAGAAGATATGCCAGATAGAATGTCAGAAGATATGCCAGATAGAATGTCAGATAGAATGCTAGAAGATTTGGCAGATAGAATACCAGATAGAATGTCAGAAGATATGCCAAATAAATTATCTTTTCCTCATCTTCATGGGTCTGAAATGGTTTACCACATTCTGAAACCAGAAACATTCACCACAAATGCTATGGGAACATCATTTCAGACCCATCAAGATGGACCATTCCCAACTACACAGAAGAGAAACCATCACCATCAACAAAGATATCAATGATATGTGTTAATACCAATGGGTATTTGATTTGGAATCATTCCAACCTTCCAGGTATTTTGGGGTTGGATGTGTAATTATGTGATGTGACCCAATATGTCTTTCTTATCTTTTCCTCATCTTCATGGGTCTGAAATGGTTGACCATATTCTGAAACCAGAAATATTCACCACAAATGCTATGGGAACATCATTTCAGACCCATCAAGATGGACCATTCCCAACTATACAGAAGAGAAACCATCACCATCAACAAAGATATCAATGATATGTGTTAATACCAATGGGTATTTGATTTGGAATCATTCCAACCTTCCAGGTATTTTGGGGTTGGATGTGTAATTATGTGATGTGACCCAATATGTTTTTCTTATTTTTTCCTCATCTTCATGGGTCTGAAATGGTTTACCACATCCTGAAACCAGAAATATTCACCACAAATGCTATGGGAACATCATTTCAGACCCATCAAGATGGACCATTCCCAACTATACAGAAGAGAAACCATCACCATCAACATATCAGAAAGAATGTCAGAAGATATGCCAGATAGAATGTCAGAAGATATGCCAGATAGAAAACCAGAAGATATGCCAGATAGAATGTCAGAAGATATGCCAGATAAATTATCTTTTCCTCATCTTCATGGGTCTGAAATGGTTTACCACATCCTGAAACCAGAAATATTCACCACAAATGCTATGGGAACATCATTTCAGACCCATCAAGATGGATCATTCCCAACTACACAGAAGAGAAACCATCACCATCAACAAAGATATCAATGATATGTGTTGATACCAATGAGTACTTGATTTGGAATCATGTCCCAATATGTTATTATGCGATTCGCAAGCATTCATCAAATATGTTATTCGTTTATTTGTGTAATTATGCACCATTATGAACCATTACAATCCATTACATAAAAAAATAACCTCGCCATTTTACCATCATCTTGTGACAACAAGATTGCGCCTTATGTCTCCACTGGTTGTGGTTGATTGATGTTGGTTGTGGTTGCTTGGTATGCGTTTGGCAACCTTTATTAAGGTTCCAAGGATGCAAAGGGTCTAAGATGAAGTTCCCTATGCAAAAGCCAAAAGGTCTAGAATGGATTTCCCTCATGATAGTAAGGGTCTAACATGGTAGGAGGCAAAAGGTCTACAATGATTTTCAGACCATCTTAGACCTTCCATCTTGGGAGCCCTAGGCAAACCATCTTAGACCCTCTAGTAGTTGAGGGGATTTATATTGTATACCATAGCACTGCACCAACCAAATCCTTCAAAATTCGCTGGTTCCTGCGATGCCTGCATCTCAGTGTCCATGGCAAACTCACCTCTGCTGCGAGGTGAACCGGTGAGCAGCAAATCACTGGGTTTTGTCTGAAACACTTGGATCATACACTCGGATCATTACCATGTTTTGGGTTTCAGGGTGGGGATGAGAATTTAATTTACTATGCTTACTACCAAGTAATTTACCATGGTCAAATGATTTTGGATGATTTTGGTTTGATCAAATTATTGTCCTGGCCATCTCAGGATTGAGAAATTCATGTGCACCATTTCAAAATTGTCCTGGCCATCATCTTTTTTTGGACAAACCCCTTTGTCTCATCGCAGTGCAGCAAGGAGTTGACAGAAGTGGATGAAAAATGACTACTGCGCACGTCGAAACAGATGAAAGATCATATCAATTCATATCGTCAAGATTCATCATACAAGTTCTGCATAAGCATCATCCATAGTCCACCAAAACAAGTATATATTTGTTTGATGCATGTACAGGCCACCATTGGTGTTAGCCATGGCACTGCGGAGTTCTCGAACTCCTGACACCTCCCTTCCCAAAGCGATAGTTGTAGATGTATATATATATATATAAATAAATACGTGGCTATGGACATGGTCCGAATTGGCAGTTCAATGCACCCACAAAGTTCTTCCTTTTATGCCTTGTAAGTAGTGACTCATCCATTTTGCTGCCAGTAGCTGTCACAGTTCCCTCCATCTTTGGCTTCCCCACAGCCGGTTGTATTCTGCACAAAGTTCCGGAAGGTGGGATTCCTTTGCCGGTGATGCTACACTGCTACACATCCCGGCAGCAACCAACCAGGTAACAACCAAGCCAGACCACTCGGAACCAGCCTCAGTCGTACCCGCTCATCTTCTTTTGACCTTGGACCAGCGGCAGCCGCACATGAGCCTCGACTCCCTGCGGCTGCGTCACTTTGCAAAAAAAAACACAACTTTTGAAAATTTGAAATAGAAAAAACACAAAAAAAAACATCCTTCCCTAAGAATAGTTGAGACTCCACTTCTTTTTATCTCCATATTCTTGATTAAGCCAAGCTGCGAGACAGTGAACATCATAATGAGCTGGATGTCATTGAAGCTGTCGGCCCTCGACATTTTAGCGGTGAGGCCAGATGTTTAGGGACCAGACCAGTCGACCTTGAACCGAGTATGGGAATATCATGGGATATAGCTATTGAAAATGGCCATTTATAGTGGATGTTCCCATTAAAAATTGTGATTTTCTATAGTTATGTTAGTTTACCAGAGGATATTTGCTGGGTCATATTTCACTATCTTGATGTGATCCAAATGGATGTCTGAAACAGGGGTACTGATTACTACCTAAAAAAACAAAGCTACAATTTAAATGACAAAATATTGAAATGATGACAAAAGTTTTGGGGGTACCATGTTAGACAAACCCATATCATATCATATCATATCATATCATATGTATATGATTTTGCAGAGCCAAATAGCGGCCGAACTCCCAACATGGAAATCTCAGGCACAGTGAACGTTGTGAAGTCAAAGGTATCTCGAGACCCAGTGGGTAGAAGTGAAATGTTACAACATATATTTAGGAGATTTTTTTTCAGTAAACGGACGATCTCCGACGTATTTCATATGAACCCATGCTGTCCTTGTTTAATCGTTCCTTAAATTTAAATCAATTGTCCTCATCGATCCTCATCGATCATTCTGGATTGGTCGAGCAGCACATAGTCCTTGCACTTGTCAAACTCTTTGGAATATTCCAGTGTGGCTCCCACCTGGCGCCGGAGCGGGGGCCCCCGGGGGCGCGGTTTTTTTAATAACTGCCTGGCAGAGTGAAGAAATAGAAAAACAAATGCTGAAGGGAGCTCGAAGGGATCAAAGATTCGGCTGATTTCCTAACCAGCCTTAAAATTTGCCTGAAGAGTCTCATTTTCGTTCTGAAGTCTCAAAAACTTCTCTGAAAACCAGAATTGGGCTAAAATCGGCATCGATCTTGCTGACACCATGGCCTCCAGAAATCCTTCTGGAAAAAGGTGTGCTATGTGAGCCTGTTGCGCAAGTGCATCCACCTTGGGAGCCAGAATCCATCGGAATCCAGTAATCCCAGCGATCCGGCTATGCTACGCTCACGAGGCACCAAGCGCAGGGCATTTTTGGTCTCTGGCTTCTTACACATCGCCTGACAGGACCACACAAATGTGTTAAAACTAGCGTTGGCTTGGCATAGTAAGAAATATCTGCCAGAACGGTTTAATGTATTCTTGAGGGGATAGTGTTCATGATTATGGAATGGTGCATAATAATGCATAATATCTATATAAACTGTTACGGATGGTTACGGTAGATTGTGGAATGATTATGTACGAGCGCGCGAGTTTACTCACAACAACGGACACATCTCACCACAACTGCATGGCACACCGATGGGCATGATCTCACAACAATACGGGGCAGATCTCACCACAATAGCAAAGCACACCGGTTTTGCCATGAGATCTTTGCATCGCGACGAGCAAAACCCAACATAATCCAACTACCCAGTACCCTCTGGTAATTTAACATAGCTATTGAAAATGGCCATAGAAATAGTGAGTTTTCCCATTAAAAATGGCGATTTTCCATAGTTATGTTAGTTTACCAGAGGGTACTGTTGATAGTCAATGTTGCTCTCATTGTGGTGAATCCCCATGAAGTGTTCTAACCACAAGTCCCATGATGCGGTTTGGCAGATGTTTGCACTTTGATCTAGACATGGGTAATCCATGTCAATCCATGTGGATCAACCACATTCAACCGATTTTGATGAACTGAATAATTGAATTAGATATATGATGTTATATAAAATGCAGAATTCCATATTTGTAGCTGCCAACTCTTCTCTTGCCCAGTGTCCACTTAGTCCACTTAGTCCATTGTCCACTTGCCCTTCCTCGTTGTCACCGATGATCACACAATACCTCGCAGCGCAACGCTGCAACGGCAACGGGCGCAACGTTGGCAACGGGGGCAACGGGCGCAGCTCACCAAGCAGCTCCACCAAGCACTGAGCCGCCCAACTTTCGCGTGTTAGGTTTGTTGGCCTGCAGTCGAAGCCAGCAAGGCCGCGCAAGGAAAATAGTGATAGATGTAGGATTATGTATGTATATATATATTATCATAGACAATTGTTATTCAAATTCATCATGACCTATATAATCCATTATAATCCTATATATCTCAATTGAAAACTGTGACGCTCCACCAATAATCTACCAAACGTTGCTACAAAATGCTACAAATGTAAATGCAATGCTCGGACAACCGCAGCTGCTACCTGATCACGAGTTTGTGTGGGCAGCAGTGATATCCAGCCGAATCCAGCCTGTGCAAAAATCTCCACGCAATTTCCCATCGCCTTACTGCACGAGTTGTGTTGATGCAGAGGCTGCAAAGGGAAAGCAATGCCAAGGCTTGTAGCTCCATGCCTTTCCAGAAAATTGTTTGATACCATCTTACACCAAGAAACAATTTGCACAGCTGGGGGGGTTCCCCTCCATATCCACTTTTTGGATCTTTTTGGGTGCCAGTAAATTCTCCGAAATGTCAGCTGATGTCAGCTGGCACGGACCGTGACATTGGCATGTTACGGAGTTCACGGGTGTAGAACCACTACTGATGCGAGCGATCTAATGATTATTATCTTTGCAAGGCGATTTATACAGCAGCAGATTGTACAAGGCAAAGCACTTCTTGTGATCGCACCTCTTTCATGTGAGTGAAGGACTCGTACTGATCTTTTGTCACCGTGTTGACTGCCTGCCATCAACAAGTACTTCACCTCCACAAAAAACGATACCGGCCCTGGCGCCGCTGGCGCCTTCTCCTGAATCGTCAGATTGGTGGTGAACTTATGCAAAGTTTTGCTGTTCCTGCCGTGGAAGACAAAAAAATCACCAGTCTCTGGAAGGGAAAAAGGAATCCACTCCTTTTCATCATTTTGACGGAAATATTATGATTCTATATATGTTGTGAGGGCTCCACTCATGTTGTCGAACGTATTGTTTGAATTTTGTTCCGCTTTTTCCAAAAGTGTTGTAAGGAAATATCAGTGCATGCAACGGCTGAGCACAAATGCATGCAGTATGAAACAACCCCATTTTTTCAGCATCGACTATAAGCCCATAAATGTGTTATCTATGTATGTGTATACATAGTTATATGTGTTATGCATATATATATATATGTATATAATATTATATATATTCTAACTGTATATATATATAA